CCGGCGCGCTTCCCGACGTTTGGTAAGGGCCTGCTCCAGCGCTGCTCGCGTCTCTGGGGTCTCACACCACTCCAGCGTGCGGCGTCTCCGCGAATCCTCCCCCAGGGTCGTCCGCGCTGCGTCGAGGAGGGCATTGGTAAAGTCGGTCGCCATTTCCGCGGCGGTGGTTGTTCGCTCGTCCAGTCGTATGTCGAGGTTGAGGAGGAACCGATTACCGTATATGACACAAGATAACCCACCCCCTGGACCGATTTTCAAAGCCCGCTTACTCCACGACGAAGAGGATGCATACACGAAATTATACATATTCGAAAAGCTCTCGACGAGACGGTTCCAACGCCGCCGTTTTCGGCGCTGTGACTGTTCCTGCAGTTGAGAAATCGAGCTTCGATAATCGGTCAAGGGGGGTGTGCTGTCTTGTGTCATATATCGTAGTCACCGCACACCGTGCTGCTTCGAACTGCAATTCCCGTCGGTTGAATTGCTTCTGTTTCGGTTTAGTCCGGACTGCACTGTTGTGGGCAAGCCTGCCACCGAGGTTGACGGTGAGTACTACCATATTGTGGTCTGAGTCTGCTTTGACTGGGCGAACCGGCTGGGGGATGACGACCACGTTAGATACTCGGCCGTGATGTGCCTGCCTTGGCAGGATGTAGTCAAGGCGTTTGCAATCGTTTCCCGACACACGGTTGTGTGTGTGCCATATTCCGCCCTTGCGTGTCTCAAAGAACGTGTTCGTGAGAGCTAGCCTGTCTTCCGTTGCTAAATTCAACAGTAGCATGCCGTTGTCGTTGAGCTCATCACGCCCGCACATTCCTATTACCCTTCCGCCCCCTCCGTCCATCCTATCTCCCGTCCGCGCGTTAGCGTCCAGTAGGACATGCACACATTCTTTGGAAGGGATCCTCCGCACGAGACTGTCAAGTTTTCCCCAGAACACGCGCTTGCTGTCGGCGGTTGAAGGTTCGGTTGGAGCATACGCGGCCACGAAGTTGACCGCTCCACGGTGGCCTGCCAACAGAAACCTCATGGCCATGAGGCGTTCGTCGATACACTCCGCAGTGAACGTGGATGTCTTGCACAGTGACTCTTTGACGGCTATCCCCACACCATGGACTCCACCAGCCTCCGTGCCACAGCAGAACACCCGGAAACCCGCTGCTGCATATTCCGTTTGACCTGCCCTCCGTGTCTCCTGCATTCCTACCACCGATACGTCTTGTCTCGCTGCCTCGTGTAGAACGCTGTAAGCTCGCCCGTATCCATTGGCCCCGTTTACAGCCAAAGTCCGCACATTCCAGGTTGCTACCCAATACAAACACAGAAAGACTTTTTGTACCCGTCAGACCCATTCGAGATAAGACCACAGTCGAACGGGATGTGTTGAGTCTTTACAGTAAATGAATCAAACACATCTGCACGAGAAAATCTTCCACTCACAGGTTGAGAAATTCGAATGTCGTCGAGGCACTGGTGTACGGCGGGGTACATATGATCGGTTTCCGAGGGCTCTTTTCTCGAACGGTCGGTGCGATACATGTTATTTTCTCTCTGTATCATTTTGGTTTCTTTTTCCGAGTGGTTTTTTGTACCCTTTCCTCGTTTTGTTTCCCCGCGGCGTCGTATGTGCCGGGTTTTGAGACCACGGGCTCCCCATTTTTTGTGGACTATAGAGCTAATGTGAGAAACAACAACAAACAACAATATCAGATGGTCATGTTTTTGGTGTTTCTCAATCCGAACACCCGAACCCCCCGCGGCGTAAAATAGGGTATGCACATGCATACAATGGATGGCGGTGTTCAAATAAACAACAAACTCGACCCGTTGGTTTAGGTCGCATGGTGTACATGTAGTCTTTTGTCAAGACTTGTCACAACGCGCACCACACACGCGTTGTTGTGTCAACATGCGATCGACTTCTTGTGGGCTGAGTCGAAACGGAACTTGTCGCGACTCTTGCCGCCGACCTACCGTTACCGTTGCCGATACGGATGACGATGTTGATGTCGATGTTGTTGATTTTGGTCTTGACATGATCATCGTTGTTTTTGTCAGGAAACCGTGGCTGAAAGAGAGCCCAAGCCACCGCCACAAGCTCATCGAGTTCCACTGTGGCGACGCTCTCAGGTACTACAATACGAGCTGTGCTATATTCCACGTCCATAGTTGCTAACATGTTGCGGGGTTGATCGGTGTGCCGTGGTAGCAATGCTGCCACAGGACTGATTGACCGTTCGAAACGAGTTTTGCTGACTGGGAGGAATCGCTTGTACGGCTGCATCCGCGGGTTTTGTCTGTGTGTGTGCTTCTTGACCTGTTCGACCCAAAGCCGGAGGTTTTTAGGCAAGACACAAACCAAGCTTGAAAACGAGTGGTAGGTTGGCGCGTGCTTGCTCACAACGTGGTGGGCTCCACTATGCTTTCGAGACTCGTGTCCTCTCCATTGGGCTCAATCAATAGTTGCACCAGGTACAATATCTGTCCCCGGGATGATCAAAGTCATTAATTAGTCAGGGCTACAAATACAAACGTATATCCGTGGGCATATGTGCTTTACGCTGAAGCCGAGCCGACTCTGACGTTCTGGTTTGGACGTTGCGACTCACCGATACACCTCTGAGCGTGTCTGGCTGTAGCTGTAGGAACGATTTCGGTGTGCAGCGCTGCTTGCCGTGGCTGTGTGACGTTGAGACGAGGAGCCGGCCCGACTCTCTTCCGAGCACGTGCATGTCATGTGTGGTGTGAAAACTCCACGAATCCGGCGCACGTATTTGCTGGAAAAATCCTTTCAACACTGGGGGTAAGAACGCGCGACACCCCCCCGTTTCAGTGGAGTGTACCCATGCAAGAGATGTACTCTAGACTTTAGATACCTCGGGGAGCCGATTGCGATTGGACGTTTCGCGCCTGCCTCACTGCTCCCCCCCGCCCCCCCCAAAAAATCCCCCCGACAGTTTAATGCAGGCCCGAGAGGCTCTGGAGACCATGAGGCACGAGCACGCGAAGAACGACTGCGGTTTCTTCGCCTTCACGATGGTCAGGCCACCGCTGGAGTGGCTCGTCTCGCTGTACGACGACCTGTGCCACCGGAGGCTTAGGGGCCATAAGGACACGTGTCCGCAGCAGGCGGGTGTTATGTTTCTTTTCGTGTTGGCCTTCTGTGGTGATTGTGGCGATTGTGTTGCTATCCGTGGGGATCGGTAATGCTGCTGCGGCTGTCCGCAGGGCAGCAGTTGTCGTTGTCGTTGTCGTTGTTTCGTGGGGTGGTGTTGGTGCTGGTGGTCTTTCCTTTCCGCTGCTAACCGGACAGTGGTAGGTAAGGTGATGCTGCTGCTGTTTGTAGCATGTTCATTGCTGTGGTGATGTTGGTGTTGCCGTCCGAGGGGATGACAGTTGTGGCGGTTGAGTTAGCCTTGCAGAAGTCCGAGGATTTATCTGCGAACGTAAGTAATAGTTTGGTACAAAACTTGAGAAGCTAGTGATGGAAACAAAACCTGTCGCCCCGCTGCGATGGTCGCCGAACCTCCGACTTCCCGTTCTCCACGTTGTTAAGGTCGAGATCAATCGTGCGGACCGTGCTGTCTCTCTCCCCTCGCTCCCTGCCTCTCTGTCTCTCTGTCTGTTTCTCTCTGATCCAGCTCCAATTTCTTTCCGATCACCATGGTTAATCTGTTATTGTTGGCAACCTCCCCCCCCGTCCCCCGATTTTTGTGTGGTTTGTTTCTACTTCCCCTCCAGGATAGCATGACCCCCAAGCAAGAGATGCTCGCGTATCCCCACAGGGACGGACTGGTCAGCTACTTGGCGCACGGGTTCAACGGCTGGGCATCGCCCGGACCAGTGGATGAGGGTACCGTAGAGGTGTGCGTACATGACTTGATGTGCACGTTGATGCATGCTAGGAGATGGGGCTGCTTGCGTGTAGTCTGACATAAAGAATTGCTGCTTCCCACATAAACATGCGCCTGAATTTTTTTCTATCGTAAGGCCTACCTTATACTCCAATACGACACAAGATAACACACACCCTCGACCGATTTTCTGCGCCCGGTTTATCAACAGCAAGAAGAGTCGCAGCGCCGAAAACGGCAGCGCCGGAACCGTTTGGTCGAGACCTCTCCGAAACTGTACCGTTTCGTTTAGGCCTCATCTTTGTCGTGGAGTAATCGAGCGATGAAAATCGGTCCAGGGGGTGTGTATTCTTATGTCTACGGTATTAGTTGCTGCAGTCTTGGTGGGGTTGTGTTGTTTGTTGATGTTCAAAAAATATGAAGCACGCGCGGTATTCTGTTGCGAGGAAAACCGAAAGACCTGGGCTGGACTTGTAGCCAACGTGGCGGGTGGCACCACGTCCGGCAGGGCATGGACGCGCGTCACGTGTGGTGTGCGGTGTTGTGGTCGCTTCTCGTGGGGTCCGATTAGGCAATCAATCGCAAGCCTCTTCTCTTGGCATTTATTGTACCATTCTTGTTGCCAGAATGGTATGCCCCCCCCCGACGGGATGAAGACGTGCGCGGAGGGGGCACAATTACGAATTAGCGAACAACCGAAGTACATGACACCATACACTCATGCGACAAGCAACCGCTGTTCCTTCCCGCTTGCACATATCCGCCTGCACCCACTCTGCGTGCCCCCCCCCCCGTTGTCTTCTTCAACGGTAACAAATTTCTTTCGTCCGACCGTGGTCTCCTCAACATCCCGCCGCCGCCGCCCCCTTGGCAGGAGATATTGGAGTCCTTCGGAAGGCATCTTGATCTCGTGGCCTTGACCAGCGAGGTGCCACAGATTCGGAGGTACCTGACGAAACGGTTCGTGGCACCCCACGGCGTCCTCACGCCTCAAGTGGAAGATGCTCTTCACCGGGGGGAGGTGAGTTGTTCTTTCTTTTTATGTTTTCTTGTTCTTCGTTTTCAATCATCGCTATTCTATGTTTTTTGTCGCCTTTGTTTGTTTTGTAGTTTTTTTCTTCGATTTTACAATCATCGCTCTCCATGTGGTATCTGACTCCCAGTTTGGCATCATTTTTTTCCAGAAATGGTGCTCAGAGGAGGAGATACGTGATATGGAGCATACATACGCGATTCTTGGTACCCGATAACCCTATGACCCGGCCACAATTGTTTTGTTGTCGACGCATTTAGAAGGTTTTTGTTACTCGAGGTGGAAACACTGCGGGTTGCTGTCGTTGTTATTGTTGTTGTTGTTGTTGTTTCTCACATTAGCACTGTAGTCCACAAAAAATGGGGAGCCCGTGGTCTCGACACCCGGCACATACGACGCCGCGGGGAAACAAAACAAAAATAGGGTACAAACCACTCGGAAAAATAAAACAAACTGATGATAAGAAAATAACAAGTACCGCACCGACCGTTCGAGAAAAGAGCCCTCGGAAACCGATCAAAATAAAACAAAAACAAAAATAAAGGAGGACACTTCCCACACCCGCCCAAAGAAAAATCAAAGGGTAATGTACCAGCACCAGGCACTACGCACCAGGGCATGGGAGTAACGGAGCAATCAGGCCAAAGAGGCGGCAGATGGGCAGACAGCCAGATTTACAAAAAACAAAAGCAAAAGCAAAAGGGAGATCAAGGTACCCAACACAGCAGAGTAGGCAGGGAGGACATGAAAAAAAGAAACACAGCACAGAGGCCGAAGGCAATA